TTTCGGACGTATCGATGCATCGGATCGTCGGCTGTTGGATCGATGCATCGATACAAAACAATTATTATTTACACCCCTAATTATTACCCTGTTTTTTGTTTTTTTTTTTACTTATAGGAAGACAAACCTTTAATCATGTCCTTCACAATCATATTCATGTTAATACAGTTTGATTAGCCTCTATCTATCTGTCAACCTTTGCACTAATCAGTTTTTTGAGCACATGTTAAATTAAAACAACGGTTGTATATTTTGTTTGGGATTTAAACAGCTAAAAGTCAAATTAAGCACTGGGTTTTTAATAAGTTGAATATTTGAATTTTTGCATTGGATTTATATAAATTAAATCACAAATCAACATGCTGGGTTTTTGAATAAACTTTATTTATCCAGAAAGTGTTTTGAAACTAGATCCGTCTGAGTTTTCTTTAAATCCCTGAACATAAGCAACAAAACCTGCGTTTGCTTTCGTCGGATCTCCTTAATGACTCCCAGACATCTGCTTCTCTCCAGGTCGGACAGGAAGCCTTTCAGCTCCGGTTTAATCCGGTTCCCAGAGAGACGGGTAGGTTAACCGCTGCTCTATAATCTTAGCCATCATTTACACCAATGGCTGCCTCACTATTCACCATTAATTTGATTTTCTTTTAAAGTTCTCCTTACTGAGACAAAGACGAGCTTTGATAACGTTACCAGCAGCCTGATGGCGACAGCTGATCCAAAAAGCATCACTGCTGCAAATCTGGGTAAGAAAACGCAGCAACGTTCATTCAGTCATAGTATCTGATAGCGCCCTCTGCTGTTGTGTTAACTACAAGCACGGCAAACAGCATCACTTCACCGTCATGAAAGGAAATAATGTTTAATTGTTGTCATTTGTTGTCAGGCACAGCAGAGGCCGGCTTGATGCTCCGCTCTGATGGAGATGAGTCTGGAGCTTTGGACCAAGAGGAGAAACCGCAGGATCTGCCTGGTAGGTTCAGAGAAGAACTAAACGCCCTGATCATCGTAACATTTGGCACCGCCTGAATTTCAATGATTGATTCCGATTTGTTTTATTTCGGGTTTTTATTTATTCTGTTCAATTTAAGAAGAAGAATCATTAAAGTTTCTATCCTATAAATTAGAATTCTGTCTGGATGAAACATTTTCAACAAAGAAAATTAATTCCTTGAACATCTAACTTTGAACGTTTTTATAAATGATCAGTTATGTTCAACCAGTGTATAAATATCTAACCTATGGATTCTAATATAAATCTAATGAACGTTATTTTGACTGAGAACATTTCTACACGGAGCTTTATTGTTTAAAACTTAATTAAAACACGTTCATATATAAATCAGCTTTTTGATGCTGCAGGTACTTGTACCATTATAATATATTAAAATACAAGAACAATGCAATTTTATAATTTAATTTACCTGATTTAGACTGCAGTGCATTTTAAGGCTGAGTGTTTGAGAAAAAAGAAGGAAAAAGCAGCGCAGCAGGAAGACGTTCTGAAGGAGTTTATTTCCTTTCCAGGTCATAATTATTCCAAAAAAGTTAAAAACAATCCACTGAACTTTGTTTCCAAATTTGAAAACATTTCTCTTCCATCCAGGAAGCTTTTTAAATTGAAAATTTCAGAAGTGTTGCGTCTGAGGCTTTATAGAGTAAACCAAAAATTAAGCCTTGTTTTGTTCTGGAAC